CGGTCCAGTCCCTTGCCCCGCGCTCCTCCGACGTTGCGCCGCAGCCGACCGGCGCCCCCGCCGCCGCCTCTGCTGGTGCCGAGCAGCCGTCGGTTCCCGCCCGCCCAGCGATGAACGGGACCGGAACTGAGAACGGACAAGCGGCGCCGCAGCAGGTATCCAACGACCCGTACTCGCAGCTGGCGGAGATTGATCTCCTCGGCGGGGGAGGGTACCAGACAGACGTGCCGCAGCCGAGGGGCAACCAGGGGCAACAGGGTGACCTGCTGTTCTAATGCAGTGGGGGCGTTGTAGTTATGCATTGGTGTCAGAGGAAGGGGATGTATGTGTTTGTGGTTGTGGGTATGCAGGTGTACCATACACATGCGTAAGTAGACGATGAAGTAAGGATGCTTTGGTCATGCGTTGTTGCTCGCGCCGAGATTGCAAGGTTGCGCCCTTGGATGTGCGTCATAGCATGATCAGGCGGTGGCGGCTTCCGATTGTGTGATCGTGATCAGAAGTCAGAAAAGTCCAAAAGGCAGGCACGCAAGCCAGGACGCTGGCGGGCAATGGGAGTGGAGAGTCAGGGGCGGAGTTGCGCACTCCATGATGAATGAGAGGATGAGACACGATAAAGGAAGCCATCAACCCCATCCCATCGCATTTCAATCGCAGCCAATGCCGAGGACATGCGGAGATGCAGGACGACTAACTCCACGGACGCGGGGTTGGAAGTGTGGAGGTTCATCCATCACGTGACCTCGGCTACATGGGCACGCATATGACAGGGTGCGGACTTCGGCTGTGAGGAAAGGGAGGGATCGCCTCAGCGCAGGATGCCGGCAAACACTCGAGCCGGCGAGCCCCACCAGCCTTTACGGACGTCTGCGGCCGGTCGTGCCGATATCCTTATCCTTGCAAGCATTTAGCCCTGCATCCTACAGTGGCTCGCTCAGACACACTCAGAGTTTGTTACTCCGCCAAAGCTGCAGCAGTACTGGCCTGGCCTTGGCCCACTCACCGCCCGCCCGCCCGCACCACATACATTCTCCACCTCTTGACTTCTCACTACTGTTCACTGTCTCCTACGGCTCCAACTGTTCGTCTACAGCGTCTACAACGTCTACTCCCCCGACCGACTTGCCTCTGTCCTTTCTTGTCACCACCCCCAGACCCAGCAGTAGACCCAGCAAACACAGAAACAGCCATGTCCCAGCAGGAACCGCTCACCCCCTTCGGCTCTGCCCTCGCCGGCGCCCTTGGAGCCATTTTCTCCAATGCGTGAGTCTTCGTCCAAGCAACTTGCATGCAAGCGCAGCATAGCATGCACATGGAAGCAGGTGGAGCTAGTCTCCGCTTTCACTGTGCATGTGGCGACCGAGTGAATTGCGGCGGCCATCGCAAATCGAGTGATAGCTAACCGGTCAGGCTCGTCTACCCCCTCGACACGGCCAAGACGCGTATCCAGGCGCTGCCGCACGATGAGGTCGAGCGGGAAGTGGCCGAGGCGACCGAGGTCTCGCCCAGCATCAAGGAGAAGGCCAAGGGAGGCAACCCGCTCGCGAAGCTCATTGTCGCGCTCGCGAACAAGACCAAGAAGATGGCCATGCTCGCCATGCTCATCCGTATCCTCCGCACCGAGGGTCTCGCGGGCACGTTCCGTGGCTTTGCTGCGTCCATGATCAACACTTTCTCCATGCGTGAGTGACTCTTCGTTGCCTACGAACACGCCTGCAATGTCGTGTGGAGCTGCGGCAGTAGCCGAGCTCGCTCACCCCACACCCGAGGCGAACGCTCGGGCGTTGTTGCAGGCGGTTGCTCCCCCACGCTGCGATCGCTGCGACGGAGAAACCCCATCGCCGTCGCAGGTGACTACCGCGCGCTCGTGCGCTGGATGCTTCTCCGTCGGCGCTGGTGCTTGCGCATATGCCCACTCCACCCCAATATTGCATCATGCGCCGCCGCCTCGCCTAAGCCTCGGGTGTGCAGGGGAGTGTGCCTGAAACCAATCGGCCATTCACTCCCAGTGTTCTTCAGACCAGCTCACTGACGTCCCGCAGAGTTTGCGTACTTCTACTTCCACAGCTTCCTGCGTACTGCGGCGCTTAAGAAGGTCGCGACGCTCGGAACTGGTGCCGAGCTCGGCCTCGGCGCCGCCGCCGGCGCGCTCGCGCAGATCTTCACCATCCCCGTCGCGGTCGTCGCGACGCGCCAGCAGCTCTGGAACCCGCCCAAGGGCGCGACGGGCAAGGCGGCCCAGGAGCCCTCGCTGCTCGCGACTGCGCGCTCCATCGTCGCCGAGGGCGGCATCACGGCGCTGTGGACGGGCCTCAAGCCCGGCCTCGTCCTCACCGTCAACCCGGCGATTACGTACGGCGTCTTCGAGCGCGGCAAGGGCATCATCCTCAAGGGCCGCGAGGGCGGCAAGCTCGGCGTCGGCGAGGCCTTCTGGCTCGGATGCCTCTCCAAGACCCTCGCCACCATTGTCACCTACCCCTACATCTTTGCCAAGGTCCGTCTCCAGGGCCACACCCCCGACGACGTCGACGGCCACGTCCCCAAGGGCGCCCTCGAGATCCTCAAGGACGTCTACCACGAGCAGGGCATCAAGGGATGGTACCAGGGCCTCTCGGCGCAGATCATCAAGGCGGTCCTTTGCCAGGGTGAGTACAAAGTCCGCGGCGGGGCGGGCAAGGCGCGCAGCCCCGAGCTCGTCGAGCCGCCGTAAAGCATCGCGTGCAGCGGTGCTTCCCATGATTCTTCGCTTCTCCTCTCCACTCCATTGCATGTTTCGTCGCATGCTTGACGCAATCGTGCAGGCCGGCGGCAACGGGTAACCGTCGGGTGACGGGCGACGGGTGCTCGAAATTCGACCCGGCCGCAGCCGGCGCCGGATTACCGAGCTGAGGCAAGGGGGCGGCGAGGTCCGCTTCCGCATGCCTCGGTAATCACCCTCCCTCGCCCACGCCCACGGCCAATAGCCCACATTGCGTCAGTCAGTCAGAACGTCGGCGCGTCAGCGCCGGCCGTTGCGTTGGTGCAGGCATCGGTCCTCGCCGGTGTTGGATGCATCAATGCCGCGATGTGGGCTGGTATCGACCGTGCATGGGAGTGTGCACGTCAATTCTCCAGGCTATGCAGTGGAACACCTCCCATCATTCTCGCGACTCGCCCCACTCGCGCGCACGCTCGCAATGCTGACTTTCAGGCATCCTCTTCGTCTCCAAGGAGCAGTTTGAGGACCAGGCGCGCCAGATCCTCCGCGTCGCCGGCGACCTGCGCGGCAAGCTTGCCGAGCGCGGTGTCAAGCTCCCCGTGTAAGCGGCCGAATGCGGCCAAGCGCGGCCAAGCGCGCCGTCAGGCGCGTGCGGTTGCGTGCGGGTGCATCGGTCTTCGCACGCAGTTCACCCTCGTAAAGGGTCGAAAGGCGTGATATACCAGCACGAAGCCCAGTACGAAGCCCAGCACGACCGCCACCGCCTAGCCGACGACCTAAACTCCCAATCCCATTATCTAGACTCAACCTCCGCAAATCATTTAGTCTCCCCCTCCCCCAACCATCCGACCACCATTTTGCCAACACCGACGAGCCGATCATTATTTTCTCTGTTATCTTGGTAATCTCCCCCTTTTACCCCCAAAATCTCCAGCTCTCCACGATGCGGTCCAGTCCCTTGCTGGCCGCCTTTAGATGCAGTGTATGTCGTATGCAGTATCAACCATTTTTTGCCCCAATTCCATCCACTTTCCCATTCTCACTATCGCCCTGCACCTTCCGACCTTCCGCCGACTATCAGTGGGCGCTCGGACGCTGACCTTGCGCTCATGCGCTCGGGGCAAGGAGGAGGGAGTGGTGAGCAAACTGACGCAAACTGACGCTCCGCCGACTGCGTCGGCTCCGCGGCTCCGCTGTCGGGTAGTCAAATATACATCCCCCGCGCGCTCCCACAGTGTGTGTTCAACGTGTTCGGCGCGTTCGCGGCAAAAGACAGCGCCAGCGACAGGGTATCTACAGTAAGTATTTCGGTGTCGGAGTGACCGTTCTTCAGAACGGCCATGTGGGGGGTAAGGGTCTTTGGGGATTGTGGGTTTGCTTTTGGATACTTTGGGTACTCGTTGTGTACGCTGGGGCATGAGACGGACGGGATTAGAGAAAGAGAGAAAAAGCAGTAACTGCCTAGGTGGACTTTGCGCTCGGACATGCGCTGACGCTCGCGGTCGCTCGAACAGGCTCACGCCCGCTGAGGCTCGCTGCGCTCGCCGACCGCACTTAGGCAATCGAGTTCTCCGGACGCGAACGCACCGGGCTCGAGATCACCTCGGCAATGTCGCGGACGCTCTTGTCTGCGGCCGAGTCGCGGCCGTCGACGACGTCGCGGATGAGCTCCATCGTGTTCTCGAGCGAGCGCCGGCGGTTGGACGGCGACGTGCGCGTCGTCCCGAGCGAGGTCTGCCGGTTGTGTCCGCGGCGCCAGTTGGGTGTCGACGGCGAGCCGGCCGTGCCCGTCGGCGAGGGCGTGACGGGGGACGCGGGGACGGACGTGTCGATGCTGATGCCCTCCATCGTGCTAATGCTCGTGTTGCTGGGCGAGGCGGGACCGCTGCCGTTCGGCGACGCAGGGGCGCCCTCGTCCGGGTCGATAATGTCGGGAGGGAGACGCTCGTTCTCAATGTCACTCTTGCGCGCATCGTCAAAGCCCTGGATCGCCTCCTTGATCCCTTCGGCACCGTTGGCGAGCAGACCCGCCGGGAGCGTGTTAGACCCAGTCAGGCTCTTCAGCTCGGATACGCGCTCAGACTCCTCACGCAGCAGCGAGAAGACGCGGGACATACGTCCCACGGCGAGAATCTTATTCTTGATGACCGCACGGCGCTCGGCGGACACGTCGTCCATCTCGCTGTCAGCCTCGGTCGGCGTCTCGGGCGTGATCATTGGCGTCTCCTCCTCCTCCTCGAGCTCCTCCTTCGTGCAGCAGTTCAGGATCGCAATCAACATGTCTGTAATCTTCTCACCGACGAACGGCAGCGACCACGTGAACACGTCCATGAAGTTGGGCAGCCAGTACGGGTGCGGCGTGCAGTTGAACTGGCGAATGTTCATGACGTTGGCCTCGTACTTGAGCACGGCGGCCTTGTTCGAGTACACGTCCAGGTAGTTGGGCGCCGAGAAGATCGTCATGACCGATGGGAAGCCCGTCGTCTTGGTCTTCTTGTACATGCGGTAACCAGCGTCCTGCGCCTCATGTGCACGGATGATCGACAGCAGGTTGTTGCGCTCCAGGAACTGGCACGCCGCGTTGTACGTGAAGAAGTACGAGCAGCCACGGACGTGGTTGTGCACAAAGTTCTCCGACGCATTCTTCTCGTTGCCAAAGTCCTCTAAGGGGTCGGCCCACAGAATATCGCACATGAGGCCGTGCGTGGGAGGCTCGCGGAATCGGTTGATGGCGCGCAGGTCGTCGAGGGTGTGAAGTTCGGGGGAAAGTCCGCCGTGGATACAGAGGAACTGCTTGTTCATGATCGCGGCGAGGGGGAGGTTGCAGAAAGTGTCCATGCACGCATTATACACCGTCTCAGAGTACTTGTGCTTGCCTGGGAGTCAGCTTGGGGGAACGCGTTAAGGAGCTTACACTCGAGCTTGAAGGTGAAGTAGTCGGTCAGATGACGACACTCGTGGTTGCCTCGAAGCAGGAACAATGTGTCCGGGTACCAGATCTTGAGCGACCACAGGTAGAGAACACACTGAGATCAGCAAATCATTCCTATTGTGTTGCCTCACCTCGATCGAGAAGTAAACGCGGTCGACATAGTCGCCGAGGAACAGGTAGCGGGTGTCGGCGGGGTTGCCGCCAACCTCGAACAGCTTCATCAGGTCATACTGCTGGGTTAGCTAGAAATCCACGAGTTGTCAGCTCACGTATTGTCCGTGGATATCTCCGCACACTGTGGTTTTGTCAGTCTCGCAACAGCGTATCACACCTACCCGTGATGGGGGCGTCAACCTCGAGAAGGTTAGGTTCATTGCGGAGGAGTTCGCCGCCCCTTGAACACGTCAGTGCTGAGACTCGAGCGCGAAGCAATGGGCCATGGGCCGACTTACTTCTCCAGAATGTACAGCGCCTGCTCCTCCGTCAATCGTCCCTCGCGGTAAAAGTGGTTCTTGAGGAATGCAATGTCAGGCTTTGTCGGATCCGTCTTGGACCAGAACTGCTCGTCCGTCGGGGTGTACATGGCGGGAGCTTGGACCTGTGGTGTTAGAGAGACCGCATTGGCAACACGAATAGGCTGCTCCACTCACATCCTTGACGACACGCTCGGTGGTGCTGACAGTGTCACCGTTCTCGAGGGTGTGGACGGTGAAGTCAATTTCGGGGACGGGCATCGAGCCCTTGTTGCGGATGGCCGCAATGGCGTTGGCGGTTTGGGTGGTAGGCGAGGTCATTGTGGGCGGGACCTACGAGCCTTGGAGGAAAGTGGAAGACGTGGAAATGCCTTGGTGCGCTGTCGGTCGATGTTCGCGGCAAGAGGGCGAAGGGGGAGGGACAGCGGGTAGGCCGAATGAGCGGGTCGTCGCGCGATCGCGCAGTGCTCGGGTGGAGGGCAGGGCGGCGTTGCGAGAAGTGCTGGGTTCGGTGCGACGGGTGTTGCGGTGGTCTCTGGGATTGAGAAGTGTGGAGAGAACGATGAATAAGAGAGAGAGAGAGAGAGAGAGCGAGGTGGTGATGATGCAGAGGTGTCGATGTGTTGGACAGACAGACCTGGACTGACAGAGAGGCGAGGCCCAGGAAGGTGCGTGCGTGCATACGCGGTGGCGGCGGGTGCATCAGCAGTGCACACGCTTACAGCGCATACAGCGCTATGGTGCGGGCCCGCGTCCTGCCTGCGCCTGAATCCCGCGCGCGGTGAGCTGCAGTGCCCATTCCTGCCAATCCGTGCCTGGCGACTCCTGACGCCAGACTCCTGCCCGCGTCCATCTCACCACCGTCCTTTCCTTGCTTTGCCACACACTGCACTCACTGTACTATGGCACAGTATCGCCGCATAACCCCGCACAACCCACTACCAAGGGCTAACCAGGGCTAATCGTCACCGCACAGACCACCTCCACCGCAGCAACTACCAGGACCTCCACCTCACGCGATCGAGGCCGTCAGTCGCTCATCTTGCGGCACACCTTCCTCGACTTGACCTTCCTCCACCCTAGCCACCATGCCGACCGTCGAGGACTACTTTGACGACGACACCGATCTCCCCCTCCCACCCTCCTCCAAGGGGCACCTCCCCGACACGGGCATGCGGGGAGCCCTCGTCGAGGAGATCACAGACGACTTTGACTTTGACAAGGCCGCCGAGCAGGGCCGTGGCGAGTATGGCGCCGACTCGAAGCCGCCCCCGCCTTCCGCCAACAAGGGCAAGCTTGTCATGCGCGATGACCCCGGAGAGGTGCGCCCGAGCGGTCCTTCTGGCCCCCAGATCAACCCCAACACGCCGATGGGCGGCTTCATGGGCGACATGCTCAAGCTGCAGGAGGCCGAGGAGGCGCGCATCGCCAAGCTCCGCCAGCAGTTTGGCAACTCGAACATTGCAAAGGACCCGAGCACGTACAAGAAGTGAGCTACTCGTTCATTCTCGGAGCTAACAGACAGCTGGCACTCGGTGTACCCGCGCTACTTTGACGCCAAGGTGTCGGTGAAGGACGGACGCCGTGTTCCCCGCGCCAAGGCGCTGTGGTGGCCTCAGGCTGCGCACATCGCTCGCGCGTGTGCGTCGCTGGGACTTCCCTCCGTTCTCGAGCCGGAGAAGACACACCCCGCCGACTGGGAGAACCCCGGCCGAGTCAAGGTCCAGCTGACTCGCGACGGTGCGGTCGTCAACCCCCGCGCCTCGAACCGCACACAGCTGTACCTGCTTCTCGCCGAGTACATGCAGGCGGCCAACCCCTCGCTCGTCCCGACGAAGGAGGACAGCAAGCCGCTGAATCCCGCGCCGGCCGCGCCCGTCCAGAAGTCGAAGAAGGGCAAGGGCAAGGCCGCCCCGACGAAGCAGGTCGCGCGCCACCCAACCCGCGCGCCGCTGCCCCCGCAGCCCCTGCCTGCTATGGACGATCGCCTGCCGCTTCACACCCCCGTGGCCGCTGCCGGCGTTGCGCTGTCTGCCCTCAAGCGCGACCTCGAGCAGGCCAAGGAGCAGAAGAAGAACAAGCCGATCGGCGGTCCGGAGGAGGGCAAGCAGCCCAAGATGAAGCGTGTCGTTGTGCGGGGAAAGCGCTAAGCGGCGAGAGGCGAGGGCGTCGGCCCGAGCCGCGAGCGAGCGCTGTGCAGCAAACGGTCGACTCGGCGCAACATGCACACGCGAGCGATGCGGAGATCTCACGAGAGGCGTCGGAGGCATCAGAAGGGAAGAGTGGAAGGAGATGGCAGCCCAATGGCAGCCCTTGCGTCACCTTCACTCGCGTAGAGGCTGACGTTGTTACAATTATGCATGAAACACACATTGCGACATTTCAATGTTCGATGCGGTCCGGGACGCCGCGCCAGCGCCGTTCTGGGCGAGCTGTGAAAGCTTTGAGGATCCAGACCCAAACCGGGAAAGCTGGTGACCGAGATGATGACACAAGACGGACGACCGAGAGCGAAGAGTGGCGAGACATGAGACATGAGATGGGCAGTCATGTGGCACGAAAGATGTCTGGTGTGGTGAAAGGGGCGGTTTCGGAATGAAGGTTGACGCCGAGTTCCAGTCCTGGCATGGGGTTATTTGGGCATGGATTAACTATTCTATTGATTTGCCAGCGCAGTTGACTGGTCAAATGATACTAGGATTGTCCGTGGTAAGATTACAACTGATGATAAGGGGGTGGGAGGTGCGGAGATGATGTTTGAGGGTTGCGTTATGCATGACAGGAGAGTGAACTCACACGCTGCCGGAGCGTGTGCTCGCCGCCATCGCCTCTGTGGCAGATGTGCGCGTGTGCAACGGCCGATCCAGTCGCGCGGCCGAAGTCAGGAGGGGCTAGAGCACGGCGGTCCATTTCCATGCCGCGAAGCCGGTCCCTCAGGTATGGGCACCGCAATACTAGAAGTCGGCAGCCCGCTCAACCGATTCACGCTCCGCGCAAGGCTATCCAGCTGCCTCTCCACAGCTTCGATGAGATGCGACGGCCGGCCGAGTTCCTGATACAGCGCCCAGGTCAGTTGCAAATGCGCCGCGGATGCGCGCACGGCGGCAATGTCCTCTGAGCGGGTTGCGACTATCTTGATCGTCTCGTAGGAGGGCGCGGGGGGCAGGGGGATGGGGGCGGGCGGCGTCGATGTCTGGTTTCGTCGACGGCCAGAGGTCTTGCTCTGTTAGCACACCATTCTCTTTGGCTACATGCCCGACACCAAAGGTACCAAAGGTGGAGCGTCCTGCACCCCGGCAACTGACTCAACGGCTCAAGCCTTCGGCTGTCTTCGGTTGTCGCCGTCGCCACTCACTAAACGCCTTTGCCTTTCGTCGCGATGTATCGCTCCGCGTCAGCCAGGACCGCGTACTCTCCCCGCTTGTGGAGCTGGTCCAGCTCGAACGGACCTTGCCCCGTGGCGGTGGGGGAGGCGACGTCGCGCTGCCCTGCGGCATGCTGGTCTCGTGGGCGTGCCCCGAGGCTGACGGAGCCGAAGGCCCCGATGGTCCCGAGGGGTAACTACTCGGAGGTGATGGCGAGTTCGTCATGCGAGCGTTGGGACGTGTCGAGGCGGTCGAAGCAGCCGACTGCTCGCGACGATGCCGGCGTAGGGAGAGGGAGTGAATGACGAAGAGATGTCGCGGTGTGATAATGAGGGAGAAAGGTGGGAGTGCCGGCTGCAAGGTTTCTTCAGGCGTTTCGATTTGCTTCACTTTGGAAACAGGCGGGCACGGTAGTGAGTGAGCACGAGCAGACGGGAGCCAGGGGGTGGGAAACGACATGACAACGGCACAAGTCTTATAAAGGAGCGTGACGGTGCTCCGGTTCCACTCTGCCAGCGACGGCGAGCTCCGTGAGCAAAGGGGAGCAAGGTGCCTGTCGCCTTGTCTCCCAGCCTTGTTCATTCAAGCAACGTAAGGCTCGTCAGGCTTGGCCTTGCTCTCCACAGTCTCGCAGCGTCGCAATGTCCGCCGTCTTTGGGCCGACTACCGAACCCAAACCAGCCAAACCAGCCAAACCAGCCAAACAAGCCAAACCTTCCAAACGAGACAGCACGCGGCACGGCCTGACGTTATGACCTCAGGACAAGCCAGGTTTGGAACCAAGGATCGGCAAACTCTATCTCGATGTCCCAGAGTCTGTCCCAGTGCTCTGTCACTTGCACTTGCAGAGAGCGCCTGCGGACAGCAGCGTGGTCGTGCCGTGGCAGACGGGAATCAGACGGCACCAGACGGCACGGCTGGGTCCACATCTCCTCTACCAATACACTCCAGCCCTTCCCCGGACGACGTAAAGGCATCAGGAAGTGCCAGGATCCAGCGAAAGCTTGACCCGTCCCGCTCAATACTGGTCTGAACCAAAAGCACCGACTCAATTCGAGTGTGGGCTCTTCCAAGAACTCCTGGTTCCTTCGATTCCAAGGTGCGCAAGGTGCACAAGGAGCGGTGGGGAGTCACCGCGCCTTCTTGTCTCCGCACAACAGCTGCGCACGGAGGGAAGAGTGGATATCATATGAGGAGCGGAGCACGCGTACGCGTCAGCAAAGTAGGGAGCGATACGGCACCGGGACATCTGAATAGCTCCCTCAGGGCTGCACTGAATTCAGTCTCGGAGCTGGCTCCCAGTGCCCGTGTTCCGATCCCTTGATCGTTGAGAATGATCAGTCCCTCTGCCGCCGGCCCCTACACTCACTGGAGTGCACTCCGCACTCCACGCCGCACATCGCTCGTGCTCAGATCGAGGAGATCGGGTCAGATCTGGGAACAGCGGCAGGAGCCCAGGAGTGGGCCGCCTGATGAGGAGTGATGCAAGCGCAGGGCCAAACCTTAAGCTCGGTGCCAGAGCTACGAGACGAGCCATGAGCCCTACACAGGCAACATATCCGTTATTAATCGTCAGGTAAAGCACAGGCACTGGTGTTGCTCGTGGAGAGAGCAAGCTTAACCGCTTTTCGTAAGAGGTCATGTCACGCTCGCGACACCATGTGGTCGGTAGTGCTTGACGCCTAGATATGGCGACAGAATAGCAGCAGGCACAGCACCTGGCCGAGCAGAGTGTCAGGGGGGGCGGCGCCCGAGAAGAGGTCGAGACGGACGTGTACAATCGTTGCATCGCTGCTATGCAATGCAGCTCAGAGAGCTTTGCAAGGCACAATAGATCGGTCAGAGCCAAGAGCATGCAGAGATCGCTCCGAACTCCAATTCAGTCAGAGTTCAACGACGTGGTTATCAGTAAGACATGGAGCACGCACTCCCCCACATGTGCGCCACGCCGCACTTCCCGTAAACCCACCGCTCCCAGTGAACCTGCCCACTCTCGCCTGCCCGCTCTGCACCTCGTCAGCCGTCGACCGGGATGCTTCCCTCACTCCAGTCTTCCCTTCGACCCCGGGTTCCCTCCCTGGGCTTCGGTTCGCCGTTCCCTTCGTTCCCTTCAACAGGAACCCTTCATTCGTACTGTCGCCCTTGCCCCGCTTCTGTCTCGCGCGTTCCCAAGACTGACGTGCGACGCGCAACCCGTCCGACGACCCGACGCGGCAGATGTCGCGGGCACGCACGCCGCAGCGTGGCGTTCATGTGGGAAAAAGAGCAGGAGTCACGTTCCCGCACGCACGACGAACGACGCCAGTGCTTCGGATGCTTTGATCCAAGGAAGCAGTGGCGTCCGAAATGATGGCGGAGCTGCGGGCGATCGCGCAGAACAGAGTTTCGATCATTGGTTGCGTGCTCTCTGCTTAAAGCACTCTGCGCGCTCAGTGGTTGAAGCTGCATATAGATCTAAAAACACCTCGCGTAAACTACTAGGTGGGTTGCTGACGACATCCACTTCATGTGGCGTACGGAACTAACGCGACCTACTCTCACTTCCGAGGTCGATACGGCATCGGCGTCGTTGTCTTGCGGAGGTAGCGTGCAGCCGCGGTTGCCAGTTGCATCCGATAACGAACTAGTGTCTCTACTGCAGTCTCGGGCTGCCATCCGCGCTTACCCCTGGAACAATTACCGAGATCAGCTTCGTACGGAGGACAGCAACCATTGCCTATCGCTCCCGGTGGCCATTCACCACTCGGCTTGCCGTTGTATGCGGTATGTGGTCGTCCAGCGGACTTGCGGCGGGCCCGCAGACGCTCCTTCTCAGAAGACCTATCTTACTAGCTTCTTAGTGTTCATGTGATGCTAGCCTCTGTTATCACCTATGGTGATACGGTGATTGAATCCTGATAACCACGTGGCGAACTCGAACCCATGCTCTCTCAGAACAGGCTGAACACCTGCACTTGTATCGTGTGCGGGCAGAAGCAGGAAACACTGACGCGCGCCAGACGAACTCGATTAGTTCGGTGTTGGGTGATAACGGAACCGCGGTAAAAGGTAGGTGGTGTTCCTAGCCTCTAGGTATCTCTCAGCGCCTGATCAGCTCTCTCCGCGGCTGTTATCTGGTGGCAAGGGGGGTCCATCTACCATCTGCATCCGAGTCAGCTTTAGTCAGTTAAACAAACAGACTCGAGGAGCCCACCCCTTCGTCCTTACACAACCAACACCACCTCGGCGTCATCCACCGCATGATGGCATCTGCAGGATCTGCGTCGACAATGGCTCACCAACGACTCCCGGAACTCCTGGAATCCGCCGTACGCTTCCCAGCCGGCGTTCGTCGATTCCCACGACGAGAGTGGCGAGGAGTTTTCGGAGCGCCCCCGTTCGAACCTGGCTCGTTCATGCTCAAGGCGCAGTGGGCCGGACGAGAGGCCAGCCGGCGCTGGCAGACTGCCATAAAAAAGGGGAGTCTCGACGGCATGACGACTGTCGACTACGCCGTCGCCGTTTTCGACCTCGCCTCGCACATGTGCGTTTTAGGAGGGTTGTCTACGAGCTTACAGCTGATGAACAGGAACGACTTCTTCCGTTCTCTCCACCTGGCTGCCGGTACGAAGATTGAGAAGACCTCGGATTGGATCGCCCTCACGGATGACATGATTGAGCTTGCTTTCCTACGCGTGCGTACCCGCGTTCGCGCCACATACTGACGCACAGAGCCGGTGGTTCCTGAGGACGAGGTTTCCCAGCGCCCCGATTCTCGAAGAGCTTGACATGGCCTTTGTTCGCTCCTTTGCTCGACCGGCATTGAACGCACAGTGGCGTCTGCTAGTTGACAGCGGGGGTCATGCGCCTGAGCCCTTCGAATATGACGAGGCCAGGTTCACGGACGTCTATCTGCCAACTTCTCGCAGGCCCGTACCCTTCACAGTTGTCCAACTCGAGAGCCCGGGCGCAGAGCCCGAGGTCAGATGGCTCATCCCGGGGCCGAGCGGTGGCTGGATAGAGGTGGAGGACTCCTCCTCGAGCGAGTACGTCACGCCGCCGGAAGGAGAACTGCCGTCCGACGTCTCGCCTCAGTCAACGACGTCGAGATCCGGAGCAGTCAACACTTCTTCGGATACGTCGTCGGCATGGTCCAGCGACCCACAAACCTCGCCAGAGAGAGCTACCGACGTGCCATCGACACCGTGCACTCCTGCGAGACGCGCACTCAGAACGATTACGAGCATAGGTAGCCCCAGTCCTCGGCGGGAGTAACTCCAACCATTCACCTTCTGTACTTAAATGAGCGTTGTAAACTAGGGGCAGCGGTCAAGTCGAACGGGAGCCAACATGCGAATCTCGTGCACTTCCAGTACTAAGTTGCTCCGCTTCTGTATCAGCTAAGCTGCTGAGACTTGGGACCCTCAACAGTCCGTTGTGAGGCTTTGGCCAGTGAGGTGGCAAGGCTATCCATTGTGTACTGATTATGAGAGTTATGAGATCAGTTGAGCCTGTATCATGAGGCAACATCGGGCGCCATATAAAGTATGGGCAGTCGAACGATTTTGAGCTGGTCCAGCTCCTTCACCGTCGATGCATGTAGCCTCCTGCTTCAGCATGAACCACATGCGGCGAGTTAGTCCTCTCAGTTCGAACCCTAAGTATTCATGAGCACTGTGGGCCGATTGTCCTCCGTCATAAAACGGCCTATTAGCCACCGTTTCACTGGACCATTGCCTTTGGTTCACTACGTTTGTTCATTCCGCTGCGCGTCAAAAGTCAGTGCGGGAACTGGTACGGCTCCCTAGTCGGTGAGGACCCAGGTCACTGCACCTTGCCTCCAGACGTGACGCACATGATGCAGCTGCACCAACTCAACCGGCGTTCAGAAGTGGAGTCAAATGCCTTTAATGATAATGGTACAGATATGTCTATGATCCCTTGGTCCTTCATGTGTGACCCGTCGGCGGGCGCGTCGGGGGCTTGCAAAGACGTGGTTTTATTATGGTTTCTGTGTTGGTGAGAGGAGAGTGAGAGGTTCGCTGTTACGCTGATGGCGTAGGGGCAGCTGGCGGCTGCTTCGTGACGTCCACACGATGCGTGTGCTCGGGCAGGTGGCGCTCGGACAGTATCCTTCCGCGAGCATGCTCGCGCTCGTGGATGTAGTTCTTGCCGGCGTCCGAATTCTCCCAGTCCGACTCTTGCGTCCACCACTTGCGCAGGTTCTTGTGCAGCAGCATCAGACCCAGCACGACGGGCAGGTACCACAGCGACACGAAGAAGCATTTCTTGGCAGTCACCTCGTTGATGTTCTTGTAGAAGCGGTATGCACTCGCGATGAACATGGCGTTCGGTACGGCCGAGGTCAGGGCAAAGCTCCAGTCAACGGCGCCGGAAAGAGGCGCGAGCACAGCGCAGATCGGGGCGAGCAGCACGGCGTGACGCAGAGAGACAAGCGCGTTGAGCCTCGGGCTCAGAACTGAGAGCATCGGGTAGCCACTGAGCGCGTAGAAGGGGCGGATCATGTAAGAGAGAGCGTTGAAGTGGGGGAACTGCCACGAGAAGAGCAGAAGCGCAAGCGTCCACGCGGCGAGCGGGTTTGGGAGATCAGGCAGGTTCGAGAACGGCCAGTGGAGGAGCAGAGGCTGCTCAGCAGTCGGCCACAGCGAGCCGCCGGTGGCGGTCCAGCCCATGAGGGGAGTGATAGCACCGACGACGGCGCCAACCCAAGTGTTCCAGACAGAGTAGCGCTTCATCGGCGTGTAGACGGCCGAGTAAAGAATGAGGTTGCCGATGCCAAGGAGAGCAGTCGTAGGGTTGCAGCCGTACCACAGAATGGCACCGCCGAGGGTCATGCAGGTCGTGCCAAACGCAGTCGCGTGGAAGGGCGTCACACGCCTCGAGACTAGAGGCCGAACGCGAGTACGCGGTGTCTGGGCATCGATCGGGCCCTCGAGCACCTGGTTGAAGGTGTTGGCAGCGGCGGAAGTCAGAAACGTGCCGGCGGTAAGGGCGAGAAGGACGGGCATGCTGAGGGGAAGAGGCGAAAGGGCAAAGCCAGTGGTGGCAGTCAGCGTCATGAGGATGCTGAGGTTGCGCTTCGAAAGCTGCGAGTAAAGGTTGATCAAGCGCTTGGGAGTCTGCTCGGGCAGAGGCTTGTAAGACGAAAGAGGGGCGGCAGGGGCAGAGGGGATGGGAAGGTCGACCTCGGGAAGAGGTGAAGCGGGCGCGTTGGCAGCGCCATAGACAGTGCGGTACTTGGGAGGCTGCGGAATCTCAGGCTCCTGCTCGGCGTCGGGGCGGGTGGCCGAGGTGTGCGCGAAGCGCTTCTGGCCGGCGAAGGGCGAAGCAGGAGCAGCGCGCATCGTGATTCCAGGCTGCTCGTCCTCGTTCTTCGGCTTGGCGGGCTCCTCGGGCTCGTGAGCGGCGCCAGTCTCCTCCTGGATCGGGTCCGCGATCTTGGCCATCTGGCCCTGGACCATCTTGCGGAACCTGCCCTGAGGACGCGTGATGAGGTCGTCGTACGAGCCGTCCTCCATGATGTGACCACCCTCAAGGTAGACGACGCGGTCAGCCTGGGCAATGGAGCTGAGGCGGTGGGCAATCAGAATGACAGTGATGTCGGTGTCGTTGAACAGGGCGTCAAGCGCAGCGTTGACAGCGCGCTCAGACTCGGAGTCAAGCGCCGACGTAGCCTCGTCCATGAGCAGGACAGAGGGGTTGCCGACGAGAGCACGGGCGATGGCAATACGCTGGCGCTGACCACCAGAGAGCGATGCTTTCGTGATGACAGTGTCGTAGCCCTCGGGCAGGCGCTCGATGAAGTCGCAGTGAGCGATGCCGGCAGCCTTGATGATGTCCTCGTCCGTGGCCTTGGGGTGGCCGTACTTGATGTTGTCCTTGATCGTACCCGCGAAGAGAATGGGGTCCTGGGGAACGTAGCCGATGCGTCCACGCCACGACTCGGGCTCAAAGTCACGAATGTCCTTGTTGCCAAACTTGATCTGGCCGTCGGTGGGGTCGTAGAAGCGGAGCAGCAGAAGCTGGATCGAAGACTTGCCAGAGCCGGAGCCGCCAACGAGAGCGACCTGCTCACCCTGGTCGATACGGAGGTTGACACCGTCGAGGACCCTGACATCGGGGCGCGAGGGGTATGCAAACGCAACGTCACGGAGCTCGATGGCGCCGCCATCCTTCTCCTCAACGGGCGCACCCACGCTCAGAGGCACAGGGGACGGGAGGCTGTGGAGAGAAATGATGCGCTGCGAGGCACCGACAACACGCATAAGACCAGTAAAGAATGTGGCGAGGGCTGACGTTAGCCATTGTTTATTGAATATTTCGTCAAACTCACTGTTCAAACTCCACTCGATCCAGTTGACGTAAATGAGGGACGTGGTCATGTCTCCGACAGTGACCTCGCCGCGCTGGACGAGCATTCCACCGTAAATGAGAAGGCCGATCATCGCGAGGTCGCCGGCGACCTCGTTTCCTCCCTGGAAGATTCCGTTGGCGTACGTCTCCTTCTTCTGCAGGTTGAAGACACTGGCGACCTTGCCGGCGAACAGGGCACGCTCAGACGGCTGGGTGTTGCTGGCAGTGACGGTGCGGTGAGCGGAAAGACGCTCCTCGGCGAGCTTGGACATGTTACCGAGCGCCTCCTGGGTCTTGAGGGACAGTTTACGGATGTAGCGACCGTAGTAGTAAGATCCAATCGAGATAGGCGGGAACAGGATAAGCATAACGGCGCACAGTTTCGGCGAGATCATGTACATGGCACCCACACCCACGGCGGCGCCCATGACGGCCTTGAGACCTTCTCCGAGGTTCTCGGAGAGCGACTGGCCGACGATGCTGGAGTCTTGTCCGATACGCGAAAGCGCATCTCCGACACCGGCGGTCTCGATGTGCGACGGAGGGAGAGCAAGGTACTGCTTGTAGGTCTTGTTACGAATCTGGGCGACAGTGCGCTGTCCGGCGAGACGCAGCGAGATGGACCGGATCGAGTTGGCGACAGCACCGATAATCAAAAAGCCGGCGAGGGCGACGGCGGCTTGTTCCAGCGGAAGTCCGAACAGGAGAGTCTCCTTGGAGCCGGGAGCGAAGTAGTCGATGATTTTACCGATGATGTAGGGAACGGAAAGCGAGACGCCAGTTGAGACGATGAGCGCGGAGACACCAAGCGTGAGAAGCTTCTTCTGAGGCTTCGCAAGAGACAGGAGCTTCCAGAGGGAGGCAGTGTCGGGCTTAGCGTCGACCTTGACGGGTGGGGGAGTGACCGTAGACGCAAGAAGAACATCGACCTCTGCCTTTGAGTCCTTGGCGTTCTTCCGTTTTTCAGAGTCCGAGGTAGTCGTAGATTCGAAACGTTTTCCGAGCGTAAACACAGATATCCTTGACAGGGGAGGGGAGGGCCGAGCAAAGGGGGTGGTCGATAGTGTTCGTAATGTCATGAAGCCGGGACGGTGTGCCATTGTAGCCGAGGCGGAGCCGAGACCGACACGGCCTGGGGCGGCAGCGCGGAAGGCGAGCGCCATGGCGCAGGCGCCGCGTTGGGCCATGGCCATGATGGAAAAAGTCGAGGACGCGCTCCACAGAGCCCTTCGGGTGCTGTTGAAGAGTGCGTTGAGCTCGAGGGGAGGGCAACGATAGGGAAAAGTCAGGAGTTCGGGTCTGCGAAGGACCTCCTCTCTCGTCTCCGTCGGGGCAACCTCATCCCACCCAGCCATGTCTGGGGGGAGGACTGCCATGTGTGCCATATTGGCCCGGCACTACACGTCATTCTTCTGATAACCAAAAGTCGGATTTCATCACGTCCACCTTGCTTCGCCACTCAGCTGCATACCGATCCATCGACTCTCTCAAGCGTAGACCCTCGTCTTACTGCCCAACATGGTCAACGCAGCACGCAAAAGTGAGTTGATAGTTCAATCTCCACAGCTGACCGCAGATGTCATGTCGAGGCGGAACCACCGCGAGCGAGCTCAACCGCTCAACCGCCAGAAGCTCGGTCTCCTCGAGAAGCATAAGGATTACGTCCACCGAGCGCGCGACTACAAGTCAAAGAAGGACCGGATTAAGAAGCTCCGCGAGAAGGCCGCCTTCCGCAACAAGGATGAGTTCTACTGGGGCATGGTCAAGGGCCAGACGAAGGGCGGTGTGGCGATCGCCGATCGTGGAAACGAGTCTCTGTCGACGGACATGGTGCGGCTGCTGAAGAGCCAGGACGTCGGATACGTCAAGGTGCAGATTGCACAGGATGAGAAGGTAAGCTTCCACGTGCTATATCCAGCTGATATCAGAAAATTGCCAAGCTCCGCGCAGAGCTGCAGATCACCGCCCCCGCCAGCAGCAGCTCCGAGTGGGATGGTGCCTCCGAGCTCGCCGAGGTAGAGAAGCTCGCCGACATGGGCGTGATTATCCGACCGACGGGAAATAGCAGGAAGGGCAAGGCGAAGCAGGTGCCTTCAGAGGGTCACGTTGTTTTCGTCGACTCGAAGGAGGACTGTGAGTGCATATCGTGTGACCCAGCTGACGTCAGTCGACTCATTCGGACAGACGACCGGAGATGCAGAGAATGTGGAGGAAGACGAAGAGGAGGTGGACCTTGGATGGGCGGAGCCTGAGAAGCCGAAGCGACGACGGAAGGCGAAGGAGCCTACCCCGGAACAAGAGTCTGAGCCTGAGGACGACGATGGCAACGAGGCGAGGGTGAGTTACTTTGTTTGGACGCCGAACTGACGGGCAGGAATATCGCATGGAGCTTCTTGCGCGGTTGTCTGCCCTTCTTGGTCGTGTTCGCTTGCTTCGCGAGGCCGAGAGCCGGTTGGAGACGCAGAAGGGGCTCATGGGGAAGGGTGCGGCGCGGCGTATCCGTGATGCGGGTTTCGTGGAAGACGAGAACGCCCCTGAGAACCGTAACGGCGAGCGCAAGCGGTGGCAGGGAAAGCAGTGGAAGTGGAAGCTGGAGCGCAGGAAGTGAGAAGGCGCGCAGCGGCCCCTTCACCCCTTCCCTTCAACCCTCAACTCTACAGACAATAGAGCCATCAGATCAGTTTGGGATTTTGTTGTTTTCACATGGATCCGACAGCATGTATTACCTACAGCATTGTGCATACCCGACTCTGACATCTTGTGCAAACTGTTCATGTTGTGCGTGGGACACCTCTTGTGCATACATACAATAGACTAGCCCGCCCCACTGCATGCACTGCAATCGATGGCCCAGTTGGGCAGTTAAGATACGCCATGCACCCCAGGCCAAACGTCATGTAGTCGCAGGACAAAATTGATGCCGCGCGACGCGACTGCTTTGTTGGAGCGGATTTCCAGGGTCCCGCACGTGGAATGACAGTCAACACCCCTGCTTGGCTTGTCCGTCCCTCCTGGCTGGCCTGTGCGCCATGAGCCATTCGCACCCAACACGGCCAGCCTTCATTACCTGACCAAGACGCGTCGCTGTCGAGACATTGATTTTGCTCATATCCACCAAGACCCCCCCCCCCGACGTCCTTCGCACCCACCACTTCTCTCGAGGTCGTCGACATCGCGAGCACCCCCTCACTCTCCTCTCCATTGCTCACGCGACATTTCTCGGCGCCTCGTTTCCGAATCCCACTACTCTCCCACCATTGACTCACCACCAACCGGCACCAATTGTCTCTTCCGACACGCCTCACCACTTCGCAACATTGCCCACCAACTCCTCCTGTGGACCTCGTAGGACAATCGTCCTCTGAGATCACCCACAATGGCGTCCGGCTCCCTCGCGGGGAACAAGATCCACAACTTGCCTGGTAAGAAAAGACTTCAGCCCGAGCGGAGTAAGCTAATTCGATAGTGCAAGTTTCCTACCACCTCCCCTCATCAGCCCAGACATTCACGTCACTGTTCTCCACCCCGCAACAAGTATACGTGCATGCGGCACCCGGACGGAGCGATGTTGGCCACGGCGATGAAGCATGGGGCGCAATCTACTTGAAGACGGTGGTGCAAGGCATTGTCATGGCTAGGTGAGTTTGACAGGGCGCGTCACGCCATATGGCTTGTCAGGATGAATAGACGCGACTCCACCACCCACCTTCCTCATTGAACCACATTGAAGTGCGATGATGGCTGACGACACAGCCCAGAATTACATCCCGCCCACCCTTGCTCACCCGACCACTCGCTCTACGTCCTCGACCCCCGAGAAACGTTCCTGCGGCGGACGCGTTCTGCTGCATCAACAGCAGAGGTATGGACGGGGAAGGGCATGGTCAGCTGGGCCCTGGATGAGCCCGGCGTCGGAAAGAGTCTCATCACTGGACGCCTCGTCAGGCGTCCAGAATTTGTGACTGTCGGCACCTCGGCTAAGAACTCAAATCCCCTCGAGGCACTCGTCGCTGCCAACAGGAATGCCGGCATCGACGGGGCAGCGTGGGGCATCGAGCTCTGCGTCGGCCTCAAACCCACAATGGCTGGCCCTGCTTTCCCCGGACCTCTTCATGTGTCGGTCGAAGACGGCAGTGCCGCCGGCGTCCCCGTCTTCCCCGACGGACTGCCTCTTCCGGTTCACGCTCCGCCACAGATGCCCTCGAGCTCGACCCCGCATTCCGACATGTCGCAACCGCCTTCTCAACAGGACAAGCCGAAGCTCCCGAGGGGACGACCCCTCGGCAAGAAGAAAAAGGCAGCCGCTGCCGCTGCGGAGCGCGAGAGACTTCAGCAGAAGGATCAGAATGTCCCTATCCGGCCTGCAATCACGCACAACTCGCATGCACCAGTCCCCACCCCTCCGCCATCCATGCCGGCTCCTCATCCGTCGAGCACCCCCCTCCGCTCCGATGACTCCAACTCTATGGGTATCCCGGCTGAGATCTACGCCAAACCGGAAACGTTGACGAAGGACCAGGCTCAGCGGCTGCTCGAGTCACCAGCATTCCTTAACATGCTTGAGCAGCTGACGGGGGCACCGATCAAGTCGGCGACCGAGAAGGCGCGCGCGGAGGCTGAGGCGAGGAGGGCGGCCGAGGCGTCAGCGTCGAAGAAGCGATCATCACCGGACCCGACGAGCTCCCAGCCGCCGGCAAAGCGGCGAAGCAACCAGCGACAGTCGACTGTCGGAGGCGTGACGAAGTGCTACAACTGCGGCACGACGAAGAGCTCTGTGTGGCGCACGAAGAAGGTCGACGACAAGATGGAGCGCGTGTGTAACGCGTGCGGCTTGTACTACAATAAAACAAAGACGATGCGGCCGCCGACATTGTGGTCGACCATCCCCGCCGACCCGCCAAGCGAGCCGTCCGAGCCTCAGCCCATTGCGCCTTCGCCGGGCTTCAAGCGGACACTGACACAGGTCGCCGAGAGCGACGCGCGGCGGATCGCCAACGGCAAGGCGCGCCAGACTCGTGCGGGTGTGCGTCCCCCCAAGGCCGTCGGTCCCATGACTTCCCCGCCACGCGCGCCCGCCGCCGCTGCCCGCGTCCGCAATGCCAAGTTTGCGGAGAGTGCCGCTGCCGCTGCCTCGTCTCCCGGAGGCTGGGCTCAGCCGCCGAGCGAAGCAAAGACTCCTGCCCGCCGCCCGCTGGCCGACACGGAGCAGAATCTCGCCATGCCGCTCAGCGACGACGCTCCCGCACCCGCGTGGAACAGCCAGGCCGGCGCCTTCTTCGACGTCGACGGATTCAGCATGAAGCCCGGAACCACTACGCCGGGACCATCTACTGCCAAACCGCACCCGAGTCCTAGGAGGCACTCGGAGGCAGACGTCTCGAGTGTGGTCCGGGCCCGCGCCCACCAGGAGCAGACGGATCCCGCTGCCTCGTCGGAGGACGATGTCTTCTCCCAACTGTTCCAGCGCACCTCGAGCGCGGCGTCGCTCGATGCGCTCAGCCTTGCGTCATCGCCCTTTGACTTTAGCCAGTTACCGCCCTCGTCCCCGCCAGCCCTGCCCTCGAACCTGCCACACTCGGCGCTCCTGCTCTCTTCGCCCTCAGGCAGTCCCGCGCACCAGTCCCCGCTCGACCCGTCCCCGAGAGACAGCGAGTGCTCCAAGATCTCGCCCCCGCCGCAATCGCATCCGCAGCCCAGCGCGCTTCGGCACTCGGTCACGCCGCACGACGACGAGAGCGACAAGGAGAACAGGGACAGCGCTCGCGACGAAAAGGCCCAGCTCCAGGACCTCATCAACAAGCTGTCGGACAACGGCGTGGGGAATGCGGACGAGCTGCTCGCGCTCTTCAACAACTTCCCTGCTGCCAATGCGTAGTTCGTCCCTCGTCCCTCGGCGCTCCCCTCCCCCAATACCATACAGCATTCACCCAATCCACCCAATCCACACATCCCCGTCACTCACACCCACCACCGCAAACGAAAATCTGAACTCTTGACTCCACCTTGTGAACCGTTTTGCCACAACTATTGTATTTCTACGTCCTCCTTTTACCCTACACTTCACACGGCAACCTTGCACAGTTATTCTCACTTTTTTCATGCAGTTTTTGTGTCAATTCTATGAGAGAAGGAGGCGGGGGGGAGGAGCAAAGGGTGATGTCGAAGGCTGGCTTGACTGAGAGAGACTAAGGGCGGAGGAG